GTGTTCTACCACTTCAGTCTTTTGAATATATAGACCAAGCCTGAAGCACCAAAGGCCACCAGCACAAGGGAATCCTGGTCACTGAGAAGAATGACATCTCTGCTCTAGTTTAAAATTATATTATTTATGTGCTTGCCTGAGTACTGAAAAGGGTGAGCAGGCATGCTTTGAAGAAAAAGAAAATGGCAGAATAACAATTAAGAACTGGGTGAGAGGGACTTGCAATTGGCAGTACTATTATTGATATTATCCAACAGACACTTATTATACAGACAAAACCATGAGTCCTTTGAAAATTGCATGCAATAGTTGCACTACCTAGGACAAAAAACCTCGCTGTTTCCCAACAACTGCACTTAGTGGTTCAAGTGCTGGGAAACTGTAATTTACCAATAAGTGGTAATGTTCTCAGGAATTACATTTTTAAAGCAAGTGGATCACTGTACATTCTGCCTGGGTAAAGCAAAAATAATCGCCAAAGTTTGGAAGATGGTAGAGATAACTAAACTGAGTACATTTACCTTAGAGATGGGAAGCAGAAAGCAGGAAATTTTCAATTGAATTGGGCCCCCTTTCATCAATTTTATGCATAGATGCAGGCTGCACTTTGACAGATTCTAGAGTTTTATATTATTTAAATAGATTCTGTGTTGTTCAGTGACAATGGAATGGTTTGCAACTTAAATGCATTACATGGCATCCTTGTAAATGAAGTTACAGAAGTTTATTAGCCTGCAAAATGAACACTGGCTTGCTTTTGGGGGGAGAATGGCAGAGGAGGGACAGACAGCCTCCTGCTTTCCCTCCTAGCAGTCCACTTAGTTTCTACAGCAGTCTGCTTGCTCATAAGAACTTAAGAAGTGTCTGCTGGATCAGGCCAATGGCCCATGTACAGTGGTACCTCTGGTTACGTACTTAATTCGTTCCGGAGGTCCGTTCTTAACCTGAAACTGTTCTTAACCTGAAGCACCACTTTAGCTAATGGGGCCTCCTGCTGCTGCTGCTGCGCCGCCGGGGCGTGATTTCTGTTCTCAACCTGAAGCAAAGTTCTTAACCCGAGGCAATATTTCTGGGTTAGCGGAGTCTGTAACCTGAAGCGTCTGTAACCTGAAGCGTATGTAACCCGAGGTACCACTGTAGTCCAGAAGCCCTGTTCTCACAGTGGCCAACCAGATGCCCATGGAAAGTCTGCAAACAGGACCTGAGCACAATAGTACTCTCCCCTTCCATGGTTTGCAGCAACTGGTATTCAGAAACATTACTGCTGCCAACCATGGAATTCTTCCTATTGGAACCAGATGTGTGCTTCAATACATGGTTCTGCCTCGTTCTGTAAATATTTGTAATAGTAGTATATTTTGCATTGTTAATTACCATGATTAATTTGCATTCAGAAAAAGGACAGTAAGTAGGGAATACATATAGCTACTTCGGTCATGACTTGCTTCTGATACGGATAGCACTTATGCCACTTGTAATATATTGTGTGTGAACTGTGGGTGTCACATAAGAAATTATATTTCTTTCACTATCTGTACATGCATTGGGAAGAAATACTATGAAGTAGACATTGATGTAGTTCTTACATGATGTACACATCATCTGCACATGAAATACAGAAGTGCTGCCAGTGCAGCAGGAAGTTTATCATCACTGGAGCCATTCTAATAACATATTCTTGAAAGTACTCTGTAGGCAACAGCCCACAAAAAATTCCCAAATAGCTTCCCACATTTGGTGTATACCTGCATTCACATTAGCGCAATCATGGAGGAAACATGGGGAAATGGCCATTAAAGCAAGTACCAGGCTACAAATGCCAGGAATATTTCCAGGCTACAAACTTCTATATGATTTTAACTTTCATGCCTTTCCACAAAGAATCTTGGAAGTGCAGTTGGTGAGGATGCTGAGAATTCTTACAGTGTATAGTAACACTACGGATTTTGCTGCCACAAGATGTGGCAATGATCACCAACTTTGATGGCTTTAAAATGGAAATAGACAGATTCATGGAGGATAAGAGAGCCAATGCTTAACTATTTGTCACGGTGGTTGTATGCCATCTCCAGGATCAGAGATAAAGGTAAAGGTAAAGGGACCCCTGACCATTAGGTCCAGTCATGACTGACTCTGGGGTTGCGGCGCTCGTCTCGCTTTATTGGCCGAGGGAGCCAGCGTACAGCTTCCGGGTCATGTGGCCAGCATGACTAAGCCGCTTCTGGCGAACCAGAGCAGCGCATGGAAACACCGTTTACCTTCCCGCCAGAGAGGTACCTATTTATCTACTTGCACTTTGACGTGCTTTCGAACTGCTAGGTTGGCAGGAGCTGGGACCGAGCAGCGGGAGCTCACCCTGTCGTGGGGATTCAAACCGCCGACCTTCTGATCAACAAGTCCTAGGCTCTGTGGTTTAACCCACAGCGCCACCCGCGTCCCTGGGAGGATCAGAGGTAGCATACTTTTAAATACCTGTTATTGGGGAAGCATAGCAAGAGATGGTTATTATGCTCATGCCTTGCTTGCGGGCTTCCGGAAGGCGGCTACAATGGAAAACAGGTCTCTTTTTATGTTCTCTGTTAAATATGCCTTGCCTCTCTCACAGAACTATTGTTCCCAGGATTCCCTGGGAGAGGAAGTGTTGGCCAAAATTGTTTAGGTTTGTGGTACAGATCTGCAAAAGCCAACAAAAACACAAGTGATACTACAAGTCCCACTTCAGCGGTTCACACATTTTAGCTTTGCTTAGTAGCCTAGCCAACCATTATTTGTGGTCCCTGCTGAGACCTCCCCTCACTAAAGCTCTGATACATGTAAGGAACTCAGGGATGGTAGAAACAGCATGAAGGAGTCACATTGCTTTTTTTCCTTCTCCAAAGCCCAGTGCAAAGTGTGACAAGGCCACTCTGCTCTCCCCAGGTCCTCTGTGTGCACTAAATAAATGGGAGGGAATGGAGGCTTATCCATTCTCACTTTCCACTGGACTTGTAGCTGGTGGAAGCGATCCAACTTTTTCTTCCTGCTTCTCCTAAGGCCAGTGTAAAGTGAGAGTGTTTTGCTTCCAGCAGAAATATCGCATCCTCCTTAAGAGTTCCTAGCAATTCATGAAAAACTCAGTGTGCTGGGAATTTTCTAGGTCAAGGATCATTGCCAGAAAGGATGGCTAATTCACCAATGGCCGTCCATTGACTAAATTTACTGACTCTTGGTTCATTTCTGCACAGTATTACCACATGCCTATATTGAGTGTGATAACCCGGATAAACCTCCAAACTCCATTTAAACCTGGAAAGTGAATTTAAGCAGCTGGGGGCAACTGTTATTATACAAAGCCAGGTAGCTTCTTGAAATCTGCACATATGTACATTGCATAAAGAGATTTGATACACTTCAACATTTGAAGCTAAAGCATTAAGATCTAGATAGTAGAGTAATATGCATTGCACACCTTGAATGAAGAGTATGTGCAGATATAACAAATGAGTTAATCTCTGCATTTATTTGGATGCACACCCACAGCGTGTTAGGTAAGAGGCAAATCTGGTGCAAAGCTGGAAAGCGTTTCAACCTCAACATAAGCCATTTAAGAATTAAAGCTGACTATATTCCTGCAAAGAATTTGTAGAGCTTGTAATACCTCGCATTTTTTAATTTTATGGGCTCTGATGTTAGTTGTCATGTCAGTTGTCAGGGCCCATTTACAGACTCCCAGAAAAAACTTCCTTTCTTCTTGGTGGCTTAAAGGAGCGAGTGGGATATAAAAACCAAACATCGTAGCAAAATAGATATATCTATATACCCCACAGTAGAAAGAAAGTGAAAGCAGAGCATAATGGGAGGTGAATAAGAACAGCCAGTGCCTCCATTCCAGGGTTGACAGCTAGAGTTTATGCCCCAGAATATATGATAATAAGGTTTTATGGGAGTGAGCCCCAGGGATCGACGGTGTCTCCGTAAACATCAGACTTCGGGGAAAAGGCAGACTTTGAGCAATGGACTCAGTTCATAGCTCTTGATAAAAAAAGATATAAAAATGTAGGCCTGGAGAGACAAAAACCTCTATCTGCTATAAGGGGCATTTAGCCCTAATCTAGTCCTGGCAGTTGTGTAACCATGCAAATGTAATGAAGGAAAGGGAGACCCTTACTTCTGCAGGGGACAGCTTTACTCTTTCAAACAGAATATTTCTAAATTTCAAAGATGCTTGCTCTCATGCTGGGGTTCAGTAAAAAGTAATGCTGCAGGCCATTTTCACCTGGCCTAGGGGGCAGGGCCCAGACTCACCTTGAACAGCTAAAAGAGGCTCCTGGGAGGCCAGGGGGACATTGCTGGAACAACTCTTAGGTTGGGGCAACTGGCTAACATGCTTTAAAATGTTTTAAAAGGTTCTAATTTTGGTCCCTCTGTTTCGTTTCATCGGGTTGGTGTTAGTTAAATATTTAGTTGGGTTGGCGGTTATTTTAATTTGGGTGTAACTGAAAACTGTTTATTACTGTTATTGTTGGTTGGTTGGTTGGTTGGTTGGTTGTATAGGATATTTTGGGTTTTCTAAATGTTTGATGTTTTGTTGTGTTTTTATATATGTTGTAAGCCACCCAAAGTGGCTGGGGAAACCCAGCCAGTTGGGTGGGATATAAATTATTATTATTATTATTATTATTATTATTATTTCTTTAGAAACAAAAACATTATTTTGGAATAGTGGGGCATTACTGGGGGTGGGATAGGAAGCCCAGTACAACCTTTTTGGTTTTTTGAAAGGAATACCATTTCCTACTCTATTAAACTTTTTAAAAGTTGGATAACTATCCTGAGAGCAAAATTATTGGCAGCTGGGTTGGGGGAAGGGAATGCATTACTGAAGGAAGGAAAGCAGCTTTGTGAGGCAGGAATTTGCAGGGTGTGCGGGAAGAGAAAAGGTTTCTCCAAATTTATTCCCCTAGCTATTCCACCCATGAAGTTTTAAACATTCAAACTGCATTTGAAAACCTATAGGGTCTGCCTGGATAGCTCAGTTGGTTAGAGTGTGGTGCTGATAATACCAAGGTTGCAAGTTTGACTCCCATATGGGACAGCTGCATATTCTTGCATTGCAGGGGGTTGGACTTGATGATCCTCAGGGTCTCTTCCAACTCTATGATTCTAAAAGCTACCCAGTGGTGCTTTTTGGAGCTGGGAGCAGCAGGCAGCTGCTTCTTAATCTAAAATTCTTCCCCTCTGAACCCTTTTTTACAGAAAGGTGTTGCAGAACTGTTACACACATTAATAGGTAATGTATGAGTTCCATGCATGTCACAACCATTAACTGATAAGTACTTTGTAACAGTCATGTGTGCATTCCTTCTGTGAGGAATCGACTTGAAAATAACTTGTGTTATAAGAATTTTAAGGTCTTATATATATAACATAGATGTTCATAAATGTACCAAGCAAACACATACAAATATGTAAACCACATGTCTGAAACCCACAGAAAAGTCCTGAAACCATTTTCTCTCTCCCAAAATGACCTCAAATATTTCTCTGAAAGGTTGAAGGAAATGGGAAATCTCCCCATTGTCTCTTTCACAAATCCTGTCTTAAGGGCACATTTAAGATATGAATAGGGTGTGAGCCTGTGACCTGGATTCAGGAATTGAGTAGTTATCATAACAAGAGTGGTCAGGATACCCAAGTAATCCAATCAGGTAACCTGGCAGACAGGAAGAAACAACACACCCTTGGGTCTTGGGTACCCCATAAGGGAAAAGAAGCAGTTTTTTTTTCTTATAACACTTGCAAAGTCACTTTACAGAGCTCTCTCCGAGACTATATATATATATATATATATATACACACACACACATATATATATATAATGGCTGCTTACCTGCCGGATGTGGGGAGGTGGCAGTTGCGGAGCAGGGCAGGCGGCAGGGTATCCATCCAGCTTTGGCTGGGGGAGGACGTCGCTTCCTTCTCTGCTGGCCACACTGACTGCTGGGGCTCATCCACAGTTTCAGCCAATAATGGGCAAACTTTGGGGTGCAAGTTTGGGAGTGAACCACACTTCTTCCTTCTGCTGCTCCCTGGCTATAAAAGCCAACTGCACCCAATATTTGGCTGCTGCTTCTGCGCCAAACAGGAGCCATTCCTCCATGGAGAAGGGGCAGTGGGGAAAAGACGCAAAGAATGGCAGCCGGGAACCACCAGGATGTCCTCTGGTTCCTCACCCCTGGAGCTGGAGCCTGATCCCTGGAGGCATGTCCTTTGGAGGAAGCAGGATATAGTATGGGCTCTCATGTGAATGGGTTCTCACTGTCAGCGGATTCCCCAATTATTGCATTGTCACACCATGCTGCTGTGCAAATGTGCATGGAAATGTGAGGCATCTTGCCAGGAGGATTGTCCATGAAGTCCATGTCCATGAAATTGGCCGTAGACCCCAAGTCTATCATCTTCTTCTTTGGTGATCACTCGTAGCTGAGTAAGATTGTCTTCCATGAACACAGTCTTAACAGTGAGCCCATAAGTGACTGTGGAGGCCAATTCTGGATTCACATGTCCTTCTACAGTGGGGATATAGGTTTCCAGGTGGGAGTTGATCATGGTGAGGGTTTGCCAAACATGCTTCCTCTTAGCTTGTTTCTCCCTTTTGTCCTGAGTTTGAGTGTCTTCAAAAGTCCATGACACTGTTCGTAAAGGCTGTTCTCCAATTGGAGCACTCGCAGGCCAGCATTTCCTGATTGTGTATACTACATTTCTTTTAGATTTGCCTTGAGAGGGTCTTTAAACCTCTTTTGTTGACCACCAGCATTACATTTTTAAGTTGCTTGGGAAGACGATAATCAGGCACAGCCCAGATCTGTAGAGCTGCTTTCCAGGTAATTGGAGAGGGTGGTGCGAGGCATCTGGGCATTAGCAATGCCCATGGCCCTCCTAAATAGGGGAAATTCTGTTCCTGGGCAGCTGGCAGAGCCCCTCTTCACTGGGCATGGGACTGCCACATTCCCCAGCCTCCACAGGAGACTCACAGTCCCTCTCTGCATCTCTGTTCCTTTTTAGCCACCGTCAAACGAGGGCTATGGCAACTGTCATACTGATCCTAAGCTGAATAGCTGCCCAGCGCAGCTTCAGGTCCCCAACCAAGTGCCCCCTTCTAGAACCCACTGCTCTCAACACTCTCAACTGCCTCCCCCGCAACATTCAAACTCGCTTTCCAAGTCTCCTCCAATCTTCAAGCTCTGCCAGAATTCTGGAATCCAACTTGGTAAGGCTGGCTGCCCTGCTGTGGAGGACAAGTCCCTCTTGCAAGGACTCTGCTGTACTCTTTCTTAAAGCTGCAACAGTCTCCGCCATGTCTCAGTTTTCCAAAGGTGAGAGCCTGGAACCCCATGGGCTCTTGCCACCACTCGGCAGAGAGAGGGGAGGCAGCCAACTTTTGGAGCAATATTTTATACATCCTGCTCTGTCAAGTCATCCTATTGGAAGCACATAAGCTTCCTGTTCCTGCTTCCTATGAAACTGGGAAAGTGAACTGTAGGTTCTCCTCCCTGTTCTAAAAAGCAGGTGTCTTCCCCCAAAAGATTCTGGGAATTGTAGTTTCTTACGGGTTCTGGGAATTGTAGGCCTGTGAGAGGAAAGCTACGATGCCTAGGATCATTTGGGCAACGTCATGTGCGTTAAATGCTCATTGGATGCACTTTACAGCATAGGATTCAGCTGCCTGACAACCCAGCAGCCTGGCCCGTTTGCCAGCTGATGTCACAAAGTGCCGCTTTGCAAGCAAGCCTTATAGTGCCCTGCAAGAGGGATGCCTGTCAAAGGATGGTGAGATACTTGCCATGATAATGAGAAGGAACTCTGAAGGTAGGAGGCGCTCCAAGGTCCAGAGGAGATGAGTGGCATATAATTTTTTTAAAAAATATTATTATTGTTGTTGTTGTTGTTGTTGTCGTCACTCGTCACTGGTGCATGTGGCTTGGCTCCCTGGCTTGACTTGTCCACAGATGTTGACAGCTTGGCAGGTCCTCAGCTGTGGTCCCCAGATTATATTTTTTGTTTTGAATATCTGGTTGAGCACAAGGTTGAATCATATGGCCTTTCCATGCCTCTATTCTCTTAAACTCTAAGGCTGTGTGCACATCACACCTTGAAATCACAGGCTCATTCCATTAAAATGGCAACCTATAGACGCATTGTTCCTAAACATGTTGTAGATCATTTTAAGGAAAATTTTCCAAAGTTTCAGGATCTTGTCATTGTGTGGGGTGGGTTTTAACAGGAAGTAGAGTATATGTTAATTGAAATATATCCCTCCAGATACCCACAAATGTGAGATGAACAGAGTTTCAAAATCCCCTCCTTGATAGCAAAACTTAAAGCTTAGGAGCAGCTGCCGGGACCATATGGTCCTAAAGGATCTACAATGGCTCCCAGTACATTTGCGAGCACCATTCAACGTGTGGGTCTTGTATACCTGAAGTAGGGTTGTCACTTGGTTCTTAAAAAACAGAGTTTTAAAATCCCATCTTTGACAGAAAACCTAAAAGGATAGGAATTAGGCTGCAGAACCTTGTTTGGAGCAAGTCTAACTATGAAGTCAGCTGCCCACTTCAGATGAGAAGTTTAAAAATAAGCCTTCCTTACTTTATTCTCATGCATTGGTTCATAGCAACAGCAATAAAAACTATGCAGGTAAAATACTGGTATTCATTTGCAAGGGACATCCCTAAACCCTAGAGATTAATAAATGGTAGGATTTTGATGATTTGGAGTATTGAAGGGAAGACTGGAAGTCAGGGGGGAAGTACAGCCTCAGATTTCCTTCCAAGCCAGGGCCTCACCTCGAATAGAGACAGAAATGTGCCAAAAGGGGTTGATGGCCCATTGGAGAGCCTGGGAGAGATGCCTGGGACTCCAGGGCTGCTCTAATGTGGGGGACAAGCCCCCTTGGCAGGACCATGCTGTCAGATGCGGACTCCCTCCACGCAGACGGAAAGAGCCAATAGGGGAACAAAGTGTATTTCTTAGAGCTGCGGCAGTCTCTGCCATGTCTCCATTCTCCCAAGGAATACGGACCCTGCCTGGACCCCCCTGGCACCTTGCAGAGTGTGGGGGTGGCACCCGGCTTTTGTAACAAAACTGACATTTACATAACCAACATGCGGAAGAGGCATGTCTGAATCCAATACAGGTCCAAGGAAGAGAGAGGGTAACACCAAATACAATATGCTCCTTTCGCTCCAGCAGAGCAGGGAAAAGGACATCACACAGAGCCATCTCTGCCAATTGTCTTTCTAAGGTCCAAGCCCCGGCCTGTCAGCAATGAAGCTCTGCGGACTTAGCCCCTTTTCATGCTGCAGGAGCCTCAAATGGATCGTGTGTACACAGCTTTGGTTTTAAGGAAAAGGCGTCTAGCAAGCTTCAGCTTGCATGGGGCAGGAGCATAGTGAGATTTATTTTGTGGGGGTCTTTTTGCACCATCGCTGTGTGTGACCCTTGAGAAAGAGGTTCCTGTCCCAGTAGGCTTACAATCTTTAATTTGACACAGGGAGGGAACAGGGAAGGCATTTCCCTTCTCAGCTTCTAATTTTATGTCTCTATTATGATTCCCCTTTATCATTTTTTTCTTAAACTAAAATGCCTAACCTCATAAGCCTTTCCTTCAATGTAAAAAAACCACCACCTCAAATATTTGTATCTGTTTTTTTCTTATGAGTAAGCTAAACTGTTCCTCCTGTTTTCCACCTGCCTTGGCATAGGATTTACAATTATAAAGGTAGAAACCTATGGGAAGAAACCATATTGGGTAGATTTGGCAAGCTAATACTTTTTGGCAAAAAAAAGGCCCTCAGTGATGGACATCAAAATCAAAAACTGAATTTTAAAATAAAAAAGTCATATCTGCAATGAATTTTTACCAAAATTTGAATGTGTGTGATATTCACCTCAGCTCTAAGCAGGGCCTTGATTCTGTACACATAGGAGCAGGTTGACAAATATACAGCGTTACCAACTCAATACCTAGAAACCATTTTTGGTAGGTGGTACAACAGACAAGCAAAACTCTGTGTGGGGAAAATAAACTGCATA